ATATATATATATATATATATATATATATATATATATATATATATATATATATATATATATATATATATATATATATATATATATATATACAAATGAAGTCAGAATTATTAGCCCCCTTTGATTTTTTTTTCTTTTTTAAATATTTCCCAAATTGTGTTAAACAGAGCAAGGAAATGTTCACAGTATGTCTGATAATATTTTTTCCTCTGAATAAAGTTTTATTTGTTTTATTTTGGCTTGAATAAAAGCCGTTTTCATTTTTTTAAGCACTATTTTAAGGTCTAAATTATTAGCCTTTTTAAGCTATTTTTTTCAGACAATTTTTGTCTACAGAACAAACCATCATTATTGTCACGGGTTGTGACACAGACAACGGAGTTCGAATCCACATGCAGGTTTATTCAGGATGTCAGGCAAGCGATGCTCAACACGGGTGCAAACGGATGTATAAAGACAAACCAAAATGTTGGTCGGAATAACAGGCGAGGGGTCGAAAAGCAGGCGGCAGACAGGGACAAAAAGACAAACTAGGCGAGGGCAAAAACACCAAACCAGCGATCTAGGGAGTTACAATTGCTAGTGATCGTGACATTTATACAACAAAATTGCCTAATTACCCTAACCTGCATAGTTCACCTAATTAACCAAGTTAAAAGCCTTAAATGTCACTTTGAGCTGTATAGAAGAGTCTTGAAAAATGTCTAGTCAAATATTATTTACTGTCATCATGGTAAAGATAGGGGGCGAAGCAGTGGCGCAGTAGGTAATGCTGTCGCCTCACAGCAAGAAGGTCGCTGGGTCGCTGCTTCGAACCACAGCTCAGTTGGCGTTTCTGTGTAGAGTTTGCATGTTCTCACTGCGTTCGCGCGGGTTTCCTGCGGGTGCTCTGGTTTCCCCCACAGTCCAAAGACATTCGGTACAGGTGAATTGGGTAGATTGGCTAAATTGTCTGTAGAGTATGAGTGTGTGTGTCTATGTGTATGTGTTTGTTTGTGGATGTTTCCCAGAAATGGGTTGCAGCCGGAAGGGCATCCGTTGCGTAAAAACGTGCTGGATAAGTTAGCGGTTCATGCCGCTGAGGCGACCCTGGATTAATAAAGGGACTAAGCCGACAAGAAAATGATTGAATGGTAAAGATAACACAAATCAGTTATGAGAGATGAGTTATTAAAACTATTATGTTTAGAAATGTGCTAAAAAAATTCCTGTTAAAAATCTCTCCGTTAAACAGAAATTGGGGAAAAAATAAACAGAGGGGCTAATAATTAAGGGGGGCTAATAGTTCTAACTTCAACTGTATATGTATGTACTGTATGTATAAATATATATATATATATATATGCATACAACTGAACTGGCGCTCTAGGCAAATGGCAATCATGCATGCTCTAAACCCGAAAGTAAAAAAGAAAGTGACCGGTTTGCTGATGAAAGGTAGGATGAGGGTGGATGTAGCTGATGAAAGTGAAGTTCTGTTGCCCAAGGCGGCCGCCTAGTTCGCCTCTATGCATGCGCCATCCCTGAACACACGTCGACCACAACAGGAAATGAAAAAAAACTGCAACTACGTTATTTGCGTTCTTTTTTCCTATGCGTTAAATATTTAAACACGCTAATTTTGACAGCCCTGCTTAATTCCAATATCTCTATCAAAGCTTTTAATATAAATATGACGTCATAAATGAGATCAGTTAAATGGCCATTCGATTAGTTATGCAATGCTGGTAGTTCCAGTGTTACTTGATTACATATTGCTTTTTTTCCAAATATATAAAGCACAATATCAATATCACATGACGTTTCTTTGTTTTTCTAAACTTCTGGATCCCTGGATATTGGATCAGCAGGTTCAGGGAAAAAAAAAGAGGACAGACAGAAGAGGAAGCTGGGGAAATGAGAAAGGTCTCGGGCTGACAGGAAATGGGGAATGAGTGGCACTTGTCACCACCCAGGTTCTCTCATCTGTCACTGAGGGACAAAGACCTGGGCGCTGTTCATTTGAAGGTCTCTGTCCCCATCCGTCTCCCTCAACATAAGCCAATGAGAACACCGCAGTTTCTCTTAACCCGTTGAGTAATGGCTGCAAAATCTGGCAGCATGACAGAGCAGAACTACATATGCAAATAAGCTCTAATCAATTAACTCTCAAGATTGCAAACAACAAAAGGAATACTGTCTCTGATAAGGAGTCCACTGCTAATTTCTTTAGACCAAGAAGTGCTTAAACAAATTAGCATGCGTCAATACATTGCATTTAAAATGGAAGGACAAAAAGAGAGAGGGGGGATGGGGTAAAGAACAAAATCAGTGAACTATCAAACTTTTCTGATGAGGTGTTAGCAAAATATCAAATATAAATCATATGCATGGTATTAATGTCCGAACTCGGTCCTAGAGGGCCAGTGTCCTGCATAGTTTAGCTACAACTTAATTCAACACACCTCCCTGGAGGTTTCTAGTATACCTAGAAACAGCTTTTATCAGCTAGTTCCGGCGTGTCTGATTAGGGTTGGAGCTAAATTCTGCAGGACACCGGCCCTTTAGGACCGAGTTTGGACATGCCTGTTTTAACCCTTTAACATTTTCAAAACATCCCATAATTACCACCCCATATGTCAGTAATGATTTACTCTCTGTATTACAGTGCCTGTGGTTTCAACTAGGTCCGCTACTAACGTCATGGGGCGAGTACTTTCACTTTTCACTGCTACAGCCCCTCACCTCCGCTCGTGTTCAAACCAAACTAACTTCTTATGGCAGGTTTTTATCCTTCATACATGTTGAGAGATCGAGTTGATCGACCTTTAAAGGGAATATGTCTTGACATAACCCACAAAGACGTGACTTAGTGTGAAGTCATGTATCATTTTATCGTTGCATTAGTCTGGAGCAGCGTGAGAGTAAAGCAAAGCGGATCAAATAATTGATAATTAAAAAGGGAAAAAATAAAAATAGAATAAATATATATATACTTTTATATTAGACACACATCTGATGCTTGTGTTTGTAGCAGCTCCACGTCCACAACTTCACGTATTGGGTTAAACTAGGCTTAATATTCTTCATTACTTCCACTGTATCTGTTCAGTGGAGGGAACTGAACCAATCCCGTGACGTCAGACACAGCGACATTCCAAGATGGCTGCACCCTAGGTCTAAAATCTACAGTAAAACACACCGTTTTCTGCTAAATGTTTACATTAATTGAGTCTGTTTAATATATTTTCAATAAAGTGGAATCCAATGTACAAAATAAGGTAAACTTGAGTGCTTAATTTCACCTTTAAAAAGTGAAGTATCATGTAGGGAATTCTGGGAAAGCGAATGTACTGTTATTCACTCTATATTCGATATATGTTTATTAGGTTAGAGGACCCAAAAACGGGATGGAAGTCACTGTGTCATGAGTATTGCCAAATTGCACAGTGAAGTTTTAGATGATTTTTGAAAGGTGCATTATTTATTTGTTTATTTAAATAGCCTAATTCCCTTGTCTTTTGTATTTTAATACCCTAACCATGACCTAAATAGCAGGGTCTATCATGTTTTAGGTCCTCTTAAAACATTTCCGCTTTGTTCCATGCTATTTGAATGTGTTGTGTGAAAATGCAACGCATTTTCGTAAATTGTTTGAGTTGTGAGGATATTATACTGTATAAATCACATTATCAACACTTTCTTATATCTTATATATATGAAAAAAAAACTGTAATGCCCAGTTCTTACCTTTACATGTTGGCAGAGCTTTGTCCCATACAGGTTTCCCATCAGCCCCAATGATGCATGTGAGACTGGCTGGTCCGGCAATGATGTATCCAGAATCACACTGATATGTCACACTTGATCCCAGCTTGTAATCCATTCCCAGTCTTGTTCCGTTCATAATGTTCCCAGGGTCAAAGCATGCTTCTCGTGGCTTTTCTGTAACAAGGCATAAACATTAATTTGATATAATCTGTGCTAACACATTACTTGAAGATAAACTTTACTTAATAACAGTGTCGCTAAGATTTTTTGGACCTTGACTGCAGTGGTACAAGCTGAATTTGTCATTAAAATGTCATGAAATATTAACGACACTTAAAAATCACTCGACGGAGTAATGACATATTTAATAAGACATTCTGGTGGCAAATAAGGTTTAATTAATTTATTTCAAGTGATCAGAAAAATATTCATTACACAATTCTAACGCCTTATAACAATCATGTTTATGACAGATTTATGACAAGTTGTGTTGTCTTGACAATGTCAGATAAAGACCAATTGTGATGTATTTGTTTATGTCAAGTTGTCATGACAACTTTCCAATATATCCATTTAAAATGACATAACTGAGCAAATGACACTTAATAACATTTGTCATAAGCATGAATACAATCTCATCACATTCATGACATGTATCCTGTCATTTTTATAAATGATGCATGGCAGTCTTATGAACATCATCTTCAAGTAAAGTGTTACCAAAATTGTTTACTGGGAAAATGTGCTTTATTTGTTTTTCTCTTGGCAGCTACAGTATGCCTACTTGAAAGGTAGTATGTCAAATCAATTTAAAATCAACATAGAAGTCTGACAAGTATATTTAGTGTATATGCAGCCTTCACACTAAAAAAAAGACCTTCCTCTCTGCCACCTTATACTTTTTCTGACAAGATGCATTTCAGACTTCATCATGCACGGCTTGGCATCTCTAATGCACCATTTGGGATACAGACAAATGTAGAGCATGTGGAAACTTCAAAACAAATGTCCTGCTCTGCTATCATTTTCTTCTTCTTCTATCTTGTTTTCTTTTACATTTTGCTTTAGTTTTATTAGCACCAACATTAGTGGAAGAATGAACAAAGGTAGGTAAAATAAGCTAGGGCTTCAGTCTACACATTTGTTTATTATTAGGCAAATTTTGGGAATTATGACAAAGATAGTTAGAATTCTTGTCAAGTAGCTGACACATTTCTTCAATTTATGACATACAGTAAACCATGGGCTCTATTTTAATGATCTAGGCTCAAAGTATAAAGCACATGGCGAAAAATCATTAAGGGTATGTCCAAACCCACTTTTTCAAGCTATTTTAAAGATGAAAAATTATGCTGTGCTGTGGTCTAACAAGGTTGTGCTTATTCTCTTAATGAGTTATGGGTGTGTTTTGAGCATAACAAGCTTTAAACCAATCAGAGTCTTATCTCACATTCCTTTTAAGAGGGTAAAGTCTAGATCGGATACACGGCCGGCCGGAAGTGCGATATGTACATCAATTATAGTAGCAGTTTTTATGACACTGTATAACCATAGTTACTTTTTTAACAGTACTGTGACGGTGGGGTTTAGGGTCGGGGTGGGTTTATAGGCATAAAAAAATATAGAATTTTTTACCTTACTGTGATGGTTGGGTTTAGGGTTGGGGTGGGGATAGACATTAATAAAATACAATAAATGGGAAATGTAATAATTAATATTAATAATTCTTGTTAACTTCTGGCTGCAATCCTATCCGGTCTAGCAACAACCCTTTAGGAGTCAGTTGCGTTGTGCCATTTACATGGCAGACTTGGCATGCTATTTACATGGCAGACTTTGTAAGAGGGAAAACTTAAAAATTTAAACAAACCATCCAGCTTGATCTCATGAGGAAACGTAAGTATTTTACAATTTGTCAGTTTAGTGGCTAATTCGTGGAGTTAAGTTGTATGAAAATGTTTGATTTTAAAAAGGAGGCATGGCACTCAACCCTGCCCCTAAACCCAACCGTCATTGGGTGATCAAAATCATACTAAATTGTATGAATTAGAACATACGAATTTATACGAATTAGCCACTAAATCAAAATGTTACGAATTGCCGTGAGATTGCGTTGGACCAAGAATGAGCCTTCTCCACTCGGCGTCTTTACTTTCTTTTTACTTTTACTCTTAACTCCTTTACTTTTGCCGATTACTGAAGACATCCATTAGCCTAGATATTTAACTTTATCTGTTAAACGCAAAGACTTGTTTCAAAACTTTTTCTAAATTCAATTTGAATTTCCAGCAAGTTAATAAGTGAACAATAATAACAAAGTGTGTTAAAAAAAACACCAAAAAAAAAAAAAACACGCTTTTGAGTTATGTCCAAACACACGTCCTATTCTTTTGCCCCATATGGTGATGAATACGTCTTTAAAACAGGTGGATGTGGAGAGGTGAGCATGATCAAACACCAAATGAGGGGGAAGAGCATGCTCTGAGCCCGGCGGCTAGTCAGTGGGCCAATAAGAAATAATAAATAACACCTGTTTGTTCTAGTGATTGGGCCGCAGAGACACCCTTCTTGAGCAGAGAGAGAAAGAGCAGCCAGGAGAGGAGAGACAGCTAAGGTGTTGTGGTGTATATATTTGAAAAATAAAGTCTATTATTTACCTTACACCGCTGACCCTGTCTTTTTCTTCCCATCCTACAAACAAACTTTACTACAGTAAACAAGTATGAACTTGTTTTAATCAAAACAAATATAAATATGCATATAATAAATAATACTACGTATAATAATAACATTATACAAATGCAAATTGTCATGAATAAATTTCAAATAAAGCTGTACCAGATGAGGCATGGAGGTAGAGGTTTTTCTACCTATTTTTTCATTATTTTCATATGTAGAGATTTTTGTGTATTGTTGTTCATCCTGTGTGTATTAGTCAATGTGTTAGTGTTTGGACCTGCAAAGGAGCATAACTAACTTGCTCTGTGCGGGACTTTAAACCAGCTTTTAGTTGGTCAATGGTTTTTCAGTTTCTTAAAATAGCAACGTGCCAACAATGCGCCCTAACACACCTCCTTTTTAGACCAGCACACCCATGAGTCCACAAAATAGCGCTATTTATTATTTATTGTGAAAATTACTGTTGCGCTGGTCTGAAAATAGCATCAAATCGAGCCAAACACGTCTTGCACCTTATTGCGCCGGGTTTGTGATAGGGCCCCATGTGTTTATGCTACTTCTGAAAACAAAGCAAAAAGATTCTGAGTTGTCACATTGATGTTTCTGTAGACATGATGAAAACTGTGTTTTCTCTACAAGTACTGACAGGTTTCAGCTTGTTTTAAATCTTTGGTGTAAAACAAATGCCCCCAAAACACTTTAACACCCTCCTTTCAAAAATATTGTTTCACTGTTTCCGTTAAACCTTCAGTGTTCTATGAGTGTTCTTGGCTCTGCCGGTGAATGGTTGAACTCAAGTGCATCAAAAATCAAATAACAAATGAGATGGGTCTTGAAGGATTTGGGACATGTCAGATATTAGAAAGCAGTTGATTGGTCAGAAGATTTGATGGTAGTATGAGGTGATGTCAAAAAAAGAGTTGATCGATTTAGGTGAAAGTGACAAACTACAAGTTTTGGGATATTTATATTTTCTAAATGTGAATTTTGTCACTGTTTTGATGCACACTAGCTTATAGATATCCTCAAAGCTTATAGATATCATTATTCACTCTCATAAGGGGATTAAACAGTTTTTTGGCAACATTGTGTGAATATAGCCAGCCTCTAATGGTAATTTTTTTGGTAATTTTTTATACTTACACTTCCTTAAAACAGACTGCAGAAGCACTTTGATGGGCATTATCCATTTGTCTGTGTTATCTGAGTGCGAAAGTTCCACCCATTGTTGATAATTGCTCTTTTATTAGCATAGACAGCCCTGAGTGAGAAGCATTTGCATGCCATTAGTTTTCGCATCACGCTTTGAAGATAATGTCAGTTGCTATGACGCTTTATAAATGTTAAGTTTTACGATGCACAAATTGACACTGTAGTCTTCATAGACTGCCTTCAGAGACTTTTCTTTTTACATTTTCAGTTTTTCAGAGATAACGCAGGCCTTGTTTAAGTTTAAAGTGGAAGTGGAGCAGTCAGTCAAGTGTACATTATTTTATAAATTGGTTTCCACTTTAAAATAAATCAAACAAATTTTAATAATGTAACCATTTTGAAGAAAATGACATGTTTTACTATAGCTTTTAGCGCAAGGGTGCCACCATCTTGGAATGGGTGCACGCCCAGGCTCCAATTTCAGCAGTTTATTGCGACAGTTTGTGCCTGTTATGAGGCATTTTGTATTCAAAGTGTTTAATAGTAGAGGTTCTGTCGCGTCATCCATATTTTTTACAGTCATTGGGATAGACATTTATATATCTGCCCTCTTTTGAGATCTCATTTGAATTTAAATTGACAGTCACCAAAATGCCACAAATTGGAAAAAATATGAAATAAATAAACAATATATCTGGAGTTCTGGTATTTTGTATTGAAACTGCATACACTTCAACATGTTTGCACTCGGTGAAGAGCGGTAAACTGATAACCTTTATGGCCAATCACAGTCATTTCTGCTGAGCAATGGTGAATACTATGGAAAATCAGTGGTGTTTAAGAACATGCTTTACAGCGCTTAAATGTTAGCGGGAAAGTTTAAATTTTTCACAGGGTTACATAGGCTGAAGCAGGGAAACCCCTGCGGTGTTTACCTGGTGCTATGAACTAAAGCCTAAGAGGACAGTTAAACGTATTCAACTCCTAAAGTGTTTATGATTTTGTTTGATGCCTAATATGATTTTAATTGTTTAAATTGAACTTAATTGAATGATATTAAAGTAATGTTTACACCACTACCACCACTTACGCAACAGCTGGAGATTTATAGTACACAGCATGTTGTTGCAATGTTTACAGTGCTGATCCTATACTTCTAAGTTTCTTCCCACCCGCTGCAGCCTCGCTTTCATTTTTTAAAATAGCAACCATGTGAAATAAGCATATAGATCACCTTTCAGACTAACATATTGATATTAATATACAAAAAATGTCAAGGGACCTTTAAACAATAATATCAGTAACTCAACTGACCCTGAGCAATACTAATCAGATGCACAATCACATCCTGCCAACCATGTTCTCTGCCAGCACATCCCCAGGGCTGAGACAGCTAACAGACAGTAGGAAAAACAGAGGTGGCATGAAAGTAAAAAGCAAAAAGCAAAAAAGAAAGATGGACAGTGTGAAGAAAGAGAGCAGACACTGGCTTGAGGGCATTGTGCATTAAAGTGAGCTAACACCAGGGGAAAGACAGGTGAGCACGGAGGGGCAACAGAAGATGGTCTCTGTCCATCTGGCAGCAGACACCAAGAGAAGGACAGTTGGAGAATCTCCGGAGGTGGTGCTTGGAGAGGCTGCCAAACAACCTGACAGTTAACAGCTATCTGAGACCGGAGAAAGTGGGAAGGAGGTGGGGAAGATTATATCAGCAAAATTGCAAGTGTGCAATGCTATCTTCCTTGTTTCTGCAACAACCATTTGTGCACCACACAGAATAAAAGGAACAGGCTCAAAACGTATATTGCAGCATCATTTAATAAATATGTAATAGATTAACATTCAAACTAAGCATTTACAGTATATGTTTAGTCATTTAGCAGATGCTTATATCCAAATCAACTTCAATTGAGAAAGGATTAATCGATTTATCCTAAAGGTGCCGTGTGTACGTTTTTGCCACTTCTAAACTCCAATCAGAGGCTAATGAGGTGGTCATTAGTAGTGCAAGGTTTTAACATTGACATCCGTCACAAGAACGGTACAGAAAACGTTATTGCTGATGCTCTTTCTAGAGCCTAAAATTTGTTTGTTTTCTGATGATAATTGTCAAAAAAAAGACCCATTTTTTTACTTAAATGGGTGGGGTTGTTGCGTTGGCAGGTGTGTTTGTCTGTGTGTGTGTGCGTCTGTTTCTCTCTTCCTCTCTTTCCAACTGCAGGCCCCGCCCTAGCTATGCAGGCGACGTGCCCTGGGATTGGAGGAGGTTTCCCAGGGCGTCCTTTAAAAAGAGAACAATGGCATGGGGCGGGAGAGCGAGTTTTGTTGGCATGTTGTTTGAGTTGATGTGAAAAAGTTGTCCCTTTTGCTAAGTTGTTTCCGTTGATTGTGTTTTCCGTGCTGGTGTATAAGTTTTCACTTCGTGTATATCCATCCGTGTTTCGGTTTCGTGTTTTGGTTTGTGTGATTGTAGATTGTTAATATTGTAAATATATACACGGTAAGAGGGAGTAGGGGTTGGACGCCACACTTTTCTTTTTGTAAATATTTTCGCCTGTTTTTGTTCTTGGTCAGGGAGGTAGGAGTAGATTTTGTATTTTTATTTCTGTTATTTTATTAGTTTTAGTAAGTTTCATTTGGGTTTAGTTAGTGTGTACATTTTATTTATTATTTTTCTGTGGGTTCACCCCGAGGTAGTTGGCTTCACATTTTTCTTGGTGATAAAATAAAAAAGACAAAAAAAAGACAAATAAATAGACCCGACTCAAAAGGATCATTAAAGTAAATATTATTTGTCGGGTGTTTTTTTTATGCTGACCCTAGACGAGGGTCGTGACAAAGCGAACATCTTGTTTATATGAAAAGCAATGCTAAAGTCAAATATTCTGCTTTAAAAATGTGAGTTGTGTGTCGAAACGCCCGTCTATGTTTTGGTTCTTTCGACCTGCCAGTTTAGCCAATTGTATTTCAACACCCCGGGTTGTGTGTATATATATATATATTTATATATTTATATATATATATATATATATATATATATATATATATATATATATATATATATATACATATAT